TATGCTTTCTTATTATTTCTTATTTTGATATTTAGCCTGGACCTCTGAGATCATTCTGATTGCTCTGTGTGTGTGTGTGTGAGAGAGAGAGAGAGAGAATCTTTGCTGCCTTAAGAAAACAAACCATTTTATCTGTGATTTTTTTAAAGAATAATTATTTAGCTTAGTTTATCTTACTAACTTTACTTCCCTTTTACCTTTCAATTACCTTACCTAGTAAGCACTGGGAAGGAGCAACACCAGGGGCATGATGGCAGGCCCAGTCTCGGGTCAGAGGATGGGGGCCAGCGCCCCTCTGGCCTGTTCTGCTCTTTCTCCTTCCTTACAGAGGACTCTTCCGATCCTTCAGAGAAGATTGGACCCCAAATTCCATTGGTCAAAAAGGCATGGTCTCCATGTTTCAAAACCAAATCAAAAACAAACTATTGGCCCTGGCCTAGTAGCTCAGTTAGTTAGACCAGTGTCCCAACATGCCAAGTTGCAGGTTCGATCCCCGGCCAGGGCACACACAAGAATCAACCAATGAGTACATCAATAAGTGGAACAACAAATCTTTGTTCCTCTCCCTCCCTCAAATCAATAAATAAAACAACAAACACACTACCCATCCAGAAGATTCACGGGCTCTGAGACTCCAGTTACTCTGCAAGACTGTAGTAAGTCTATCTCGAAGATAGCGTGGTACTGGCAGGTTGCTGGGAGAAAAGCCTTGCCGTGTTCCCAGAAGCTAGGAGCCCTTCAGGAGTTTCGTGAACCCAGGACCTCGCCCTCTGGCAGGCATAAATAAGTACCAGCTCCTGCCCAGGGCTGCCACCAGGAGGGCAAAGGGAGAGGGTGGGGACCTTCAGTCAAGGAGGGCTGGCAAGGCTCTGGCCAGTCTGACCCTGGACATTTGTCAAGTATTTTGAATTTCTCTTTAAGGCTTTTTTTAACCCAAGCTATGAAATCCTTTTTATTCTACTCAGTTTGTAAGGTAGAATTAAACGGTCCATTTAACACCAAGGTAGTGAAATCATAGCCTCTTCTTTGTTGAGGGCAGGTCTTCATGACTTCCTTCGTCACGAGAACCAAAGGAGGCCCTGGCTGTGGCTAGAATGATCACCAGCTGGGTTCCCAAGAGAGGCACAGTTGTCTCTTTGTCAGACCTGCCCTGTTTAGACTGTCTCCCGTAACTATAGCCCTACATGTACGTAAAGAGCTCTGAGAGCTCCAGGACTTTGCCTGCCTGCCTACGCCTTCCCCAAGAGCAATGTATTCAGTATTAGGGGTAGTCTTTCATGCATTCACCAGGAACCAAAGAAGTAAAGTGCTGAGCACCATTACGGGCCAGGCGGAGATCCTGTACAGCAAAGTAATGTGTATTAGTGTGGCCTCGGGGCCAAGCATTAACTCACCCTACCTAGCACCTTTCTGACCTGTTAAATGTCCAGCCAGTCTCCTGTCCCTCCTGAGCGGTGTGGGGGAGGGGAAAGCAGATGTGAACGCAGACATATACAGGAGTTGAGAGTGACAACCAGGGCTGAAGGAGCACCCCCTGTTGGAGACAGGGCATTCTCATGGCAGAAGGAAAGAGTATTTGAATGTTTAGATAAGATACACATCATGTTTGCTCATGAGCTGTTGCCTAAAGAAAGCCACAGGCCCTGCCAGCGTTCTTTTCAGCCACCCTCCCCAGGCTGCAGCTTCTGAGGTGCCGTGGCGCGGGCAGAAGGTGGATGCCTAACTGAGATCTCCGTCCCTTGGGGAAAACTTTGCAAGGCTCAGAGTGCTGGGGAAGCCCCTAACGATGATGCTCCCCTTGCTGTCCCAAAAGGACTCTGTAGGGTGGCCTCACCTTTTAACTAGGTGCTTCTCGGTGTCAACCGCCTGGACATCCATTCTTCTTCCAATGCCCAGTGTATAGTCAGCTCAGGCTGCCCTAATGCAACACCGCAGGCTGGGGGACTGAAACAGCAGAACTGTATTTCCTCATAGTTCCAGAGGCTAGAAATCCAAGATCAAGGTATAGGCAGGGTTGGGTTTGGTGAGGCTCTGCTCCTGACTTGCAAACAGCCACCTTCTTGCTGTGTACTTGTGTGGCCTTCCCTCTGGCCTCTCTTCCTCTGCAAGGACACCCGTCCTCCTGGATTAGGGTGCATGCATATGACCTCCTTTCATCTCAGCTCCCTCCTGAGAGGCCCCGTATCCAAATACACTGCAGGTTAGAGCTTCAACCTGTGGAGTTTGGAGGACACAGTTCAGTCCATGACAGCCAGCATCCCCGGGGTAAGGCGGCATGCACAATACCTGATTCAGTGTTCTCCATGAGCCTGCGAGGAAGTTATCAGAATCATCGTTTCCACCTTACCGATAAGGAGGATGAAGTAACTTCTTAGTAAGTACAGGATCCTGGACTAGAACTGTTTCTTTGATTCCAAATCACATGTTCTTTGATCTGCAACACAGAATGTTGGCCTTATGAACACTGGAAATGAAATACCTCACACTTATTGAATTAATAAGGATTACATAATATATGGGAAATTATTTACAAAGTAATGTCAAGTACAAAAATAGATCACAAAAATATATGTCTTCTGTTGGTACAACCATGTAAAAATTATGGTTAAAAAACTATGGATAAAACTTGCAAAGAAACAAAAAATGAAGTACACGGCGGGGAAAAAAGCAGGTTTACAATTGCTCATATGGAACATAATACAATAATTAATAGAAGTGCAAGAATAAACTGTTTCGTGTACTCATAGCTGTAAATCTACTCTCCCCTTTGTACTTTGTCTTCAGGGTGGCAGGGTTTTGGTGTTGTTGTTTTTAAGTTGACTTAACAAATACACTTTTAAATGACAGAATTTTAGCTCTAGCAAGACAAGTCAGAAGCTGGTGCAAACCGGAGAACCATGTGTCTGTTGTCACTAGTTTTTGAGGGACCCAGAACTTAGGCCAGGTGTCACACACCACAATGTCTGACAGGCTCCTTCACTCCGAAACCCCCCAGCCCAGCATCCCTGGCCGGACAGCTGCTCTCTAACTCCACCAATCAGCAGGGCAGGGCCCTGGGCCTTGAGAAGGCTGGAGCCAAATGTAGCTTGGACAATCAGCTACTATAGGGGCAGGAACGGAAGCTGGGCCACGGAGAGGAAGAAAAGAAAGTATCGAATGTAAGCAAAGACCCGTCCCCCCAAACTGAGTCCAAGCAGCACAGGATTTGGGCCGGCAGGGGCTAATGTGAAAAGGCAGGTTTCTTATAGAAAATATGGGTGTAATAGGAAGTCTGGGGGACACTCCAAGAGCTGTCTGAGACCCTCAGCCCCGGTAGGCTGGCCCCGGAGCCGGTCTGGTCCTGGCTGTGCTCTGAGACTCCCAGATGGAAGTGCTGTGCGTGCAGGCACACTGAGTGTTACCGTGGTGGGCCGCGACTTTGTCACTGGACAGTGCTCCCCTTTCGTCCGGGAACAGTCACCTGTCTCGCGAGTCGCGTCTGTTTCGTGACTGGGTTCCGACGAAATGTGCTGTGGTGCGTGTCCCCTGGGTCAGCACAGGCGCCGAGGGCATCACGCACCCTTGAGCACACCTGTCACGACGGGTATTTTTCTTCCAGTCTCAGAAGCAGTTCCTAGTAAGATCTCTCTATTTTAGGGGTTAATAGATTTAGATTGTACAAACAGATCGAAACCAACTAAATCAGCCCAGACATGTTATCAGCCCACTCAGGAAAAATAGCAGTAATTTCCAAATCCATATGAGAAAATTCACATATTTTACAAAGAAGAATGCTCGATCGATTCTCAGCTAAAGGAAGCTCCCAATAAAAACATATTCCTCCAGAGGACTCCTTTCATAGTATGGGAGCTATTTTACGTATGATTCAGCTTAACTAAAAATCTTGTTTCACGTATTTCACAAACATGCACACCTCTGTGTAGGCCGCACGCACCGCCTGGCCCTGCTGTGCGGGATGCAGAGGTCCAGCCTAGGGCCCGTTCTTTGACAACCAAAAACATCCTTTATGGCGCCATTCTCAAAAATGTTAAGGGTGTGCCCCCTGCACCCTTAACAGAGGATTTGGGATTTATTGACCGTGGATTTACCTTGAATGTGTTTGTACTTTCACTGCTGTCATGTTGGGAATAATGAGTTGCATGCTTTCCACTTGTATTTGGAGACTGTTCTTTTTTCTCTTTAACTTGGGCTACAAAGTCAAATGTCCAGTGCGCTGAGTCAGCCCAGCGGCCCAGCGTGAGCACTGAAAGCACAGGGGTGGGGCCAGTGTGGCCAAGGGGTTCCACTTTTTCCCTGGGAGCCCTAAGTCTGGATTTTAAAAAAAAAGATTTTATTTATTTATTTTTAGAGAGAGGGGAAGGGAGGGAGAAAGAAAGGGAGAGAAACATCAATGTATGGTTGCCTCTCACATGGCCCCCACTGGGGACCTGGTCCGCAACCCAGGCATGTGCCGTCACTGGGAATCGAACCAGTAACCCTTTGCTTTTCAGCCTGCGCTCAATCCACTGCGCTACACCAGCCAGGGCTAAGTCTGAATTTTTAGACGTTGTCAATTGAGTCAAAATTATAAAAAGTCACTCTGCAGAATAAATAGTCCCCAGTCTGTAGTTATCTCATTTTATTTCTGATACTGTATCTCTGTTTCTGGACAATGGATACTGTAGGTATCCACTTTATTTCCATCTTAAATTTTACATTTTACATTTCAAGTGTACTTCCTAGTTGCTGGGATTCGATGTGTGAATTAATAGTCCCCTGATTCTCCACCTCCTAACTCTGACAACTTACATGAACGTATTATCTTTTCAGCTCTTGTCTCAACACACAAAAGACTATTTTTAATTACTCTGTGACTATATAGAAATGCCTACGTTATTTACCTTGAGCGAGGCACAGTCATGTAGGAAAACTAGACGATCGCTCTGCGACTTGTTTATTTTTGTCGGTGGTTGTTGGCACTGCCGTGCTCACAGGCCGCTCTCCTTCCCTTCTCTTTGCAGCCCTTCCAGCAGGTGGACAGCGTACGTGGGACCCGCCACCACGGGCTGGTGGAGAGGGCCTCGAGGACCCGCTACCACCCCCTGCACCGGCGTCCTGCAGACAAGCCGGGACGACAAATATCCTTTCTGGTCTGCGGAGAGTGTACGTTTCTGAGATGTTTGGACGGTTTTCAGGATTTGTCTTCTCTGTGATCCCTCTTTGGCTTCAAAATCCTCACTTTATCTGATGAATGGAGGCAATAAAAATAAGTGAGTTGGAAACTGGAAACATCTCTGCAGCCGCTGGAAAGGTCCTTGCAGGTGTTTACAAAAACATCAATAAGGTTCCGTGCGATGAAGTAACTGAACGTAAACAGCGTGTCATTCAGCCCCATCGCAAGGCCTTCTCAGCACTTGTTCGAAAGATCAATAGTCAGAGTTAAAGCTGACTTTGAATCACTTTGAGAGACTGAGTTATCTAGCTAAAACAGCTAACCAGATACGTGATTTATGTTTGTTTCTGTTGACCTGACCTGCTGTTAGAACTTACAGAAGAAATTTCATGATTTTCTATTTATGGAGCTTCAAACTCAGTGAATGACAACTGAAGTGTAAAGCTGATATTTAGGGAAATTCTTGTACAGCGAGGCACGCCCCCGGGCTGTTCGGTGGGCGCAGAGGGAAGGGGTGTGCAGTCACCTGACGGCCCTGCTTGCCCAGACCTTCTGGGGGGCCCAACGGGCTGTCCTGCTGGACGGGCAGCGTTGTGCTGAGGGCGCGGCTTGGAGGGCACAGAACCGATGTGGATTTTGGGGTGAGGGCGTAGAATGAGCGTGCCGGGGGGCCCTGCTCTCCCTCCCCACTCCTCGCACACAGAGGTGGAAGAAGGCACGGAGGCGGGGAGAGTCTCACCGCCGAGCTGAATTCCTGGCAGTGATGGTAGAACTGGCTTCGGGCGTCTGAAAACCAGGAAGTGGCGGGGAGGACACCCGTGTTTACTGAGCACCTCCCCGTGCCAGGCACTGTGCTGGGCAGCTCGCTTGTCATTGAGTCCTCAAGGCTTACCGAGCGGTTTATTTTTTTAACCCCATTTTCCAGTGAGGAGACTGAGTGCTCGGGTTTCTTGCCCAAGATTCCCCTGCTGAGGTTGGGGAAGCCCAGATTCAGCTCAGGTTAGGCTGGCTGCCCCGCCTGGGCCCACCCCTCACTGCACCACGTATGTGCTCTCGGTCGTGCCCAGGACCACGCGCAAGGAAGGCTTGGGGGGGGGGGAGGGCGGGGGGCGGTGAGACGCACAGAGGAGGCTGCTGCTTCTCTTGCCTGCAGCCTCCCTGCAGTTTTTCAGCTATTCGAGGCAAAGGATGTTCCCTGGGGACAGTTATCTCTCCCCTCCCTCCTGCCCCCAGGGACACAGCTCATTGGTTCCCTGACTCCTTGTGCATACTGTGCGGCTGTTATTAGGGAGAGGAAGATGACAACTGATGTTGAGAATTTGTTTCTGGGGTGTGTGGTCGCTTTCACACGGAATGCAGAAGGAACGGAGAGGGAGGCGGGGCCTCAGCAGAGTCACACGTGTGTGGGCGGGGCCTGCCTCAAACCGTTGTCAGATCTCTTGGAATTTTCAAGCAAAAGTCTGTGAGTGTTTCTTTGCTTGGTTTTAACAATCTGTCTTCTTCTGTTTCTCAGTTTCCTCTTTCTGTGTAGGCATTCTCTCTGAATACTGTGTATGTGTGTGTGTGTAGTTAGATCCTTTTTGCAGCAAGTAGAGTCTAAATGTACACACACGCTCACAGCTGTTACAACCAAAGGAATCGCTTGGAAGAGAAGGGGATTGAAGAAGAGCCACGGAGAGGAATGTTCATTCACATAACGATTTAAGTATCTGCTGGCGTCGGGCACCAGGGTAGACGCTGCTGATATTATGGCAAATGCAGCATGGCCCCTACCCTCAGGATGCTTCTAGTTCGGTGCAAGAGACAGCTAGGCAAGGAAGTGGTCACAGCCCAGGGCGGTGGCCGACGGGGAGGCCGCCCAGGGCCTGTGCGAGCTTATGGGGGCGGCCTGGGCGAGCAGGGTGGCGGGTGTGCAGAGAGAGCATCCTGGAGGGAAATCGGAGGTTTGAAGGATAAGTAAGGAGATCGTGTGTCCATTTACCCAGCAGATATTTACAGAGCTTCTTCTCTGTACAAGGCACTGTTGTGAGCGCTGGGGGCTCAGTGGTGAATGAGACAGACGTGCCCTGCCTTCTTGAGGTTACAGTCTTGTGGCATATGACAAACAGCAAACAGGTTAAAAAAAATGATTAAGACAGTAATCTCAGAGAGAGAGGAAGGTCACTGGGAAGGGGATAACTTGTGCAGAGTCCCGGAAGGGGAGGCCGTGCTGTGGGTCAGGGGACTTTGTCTGTTTTCAGGGAACGTGTCACAGGCTCTGACCTGGCCCTGTGTGTGGCTCAGCTTCTGAGAGCATCAGCAGTGCAGATGGACTCCTGAGGGGAGGAGAAGCAGGGACCCAGTTAACATCAGAAAAAGCTCTTCAACGTAGGCCTGCCCGCTAATGAACAGTGAGCCTGTTCTGAGCAATCGAGGGACTGTGGGGTCCAGAGGAAGATGAGATTGGGGTGATCTTACGTTGAAGGTGTTAACACGTTCAGCGGAATCTTAGAGGAAGAGGGCTGTGATTCCATCTTTCCTGTAGCGGCATGCGTTCATTTGGGGTTGCCTTTTCCGCTTCTCAGTTGCCTCCTCGATGAAGTTTTATCGCTTGAAAGTATTAACACTGGCTTGAATCTTTGCTAGAACAAAAAGAAAAACTGTATTCAGATTTCTCTCATCACAGCTGTTCCCTGGGTGTTACTTCAGAATGGGCAGACTGGCCTGGCCAAGGGTTCGGCCCTATGTATGATATTGTGATCTCAGATGAAACACACATTGTTTAACAAACATTCCAGCTTCCTCCCAGAGTGGGCAGCCACAACAAGCAGAGCGCCGGCATGGGGAGATTCCTTCTGTGGTGGGCGGCCGTCCCCGCAGAGGGGGCCGGCGCGGCGAGCGCTGCTGTCGGCGTGGGCAGGCGCCGCGAGCACAGAGCCGGGCGCTGCCCAGCAGGGCCTGGCCGGGGGCCACCCTCCAGGCAGAGGAGAGGCGGGGACCAGGCCTGAGGACTCAGGGTAGGGGCTCTTCCACCTTTCTGCAGCCACTCGCGTCTTCACCAGCCCTCTCAGCCCTCACTCCTCACGGGCGGCAGACGTGCGCCCCAAATGCCGTCTCGTTGCATTTCTGAACTATTAACCTACATTTACAGCAAATGTGATAGTATCTCAGACCTGTGGGTAACACATTGAGAAAGAAAGGAAAACACTGGCGAATCATAGAAAATGCCTTCCTCTAAAGAAATGTGTTTTTAGAAAGAGTAAAACAAACGTGTGGAACATTTCTGACCTCTGTTCCCAGGCAGGTGGGAGAGCGTGCAGCCCCCAGGAAGCCAGCGTGCGCAGCCAGGACCTGCCGGCTGGGATGGCGGTCCTCTTTGGCCCAGGCCTTGCTGTGGCTCTTGGCATTCAACAAGGGGAAGATTCCAGAGCGCTGGTTTCAAGGACACTACTGCTCTGAAATGCATGGGCTGCTGCCTTTAAGAATCCCGGTGCTCTCCTTCCCGGCTCTGTCAGTTAATACCGGGGCTCTGGAATCCCTGCAGATAAGAAGCTTATCTTTAGCCCAGGGTTTCCAAAATTTATTTGATCACAAAATCCAATTTTTACCTCACACCCATTAGAGATTTTCATCTCAAAGGACTAGGAAATGCTGGTTTTTAGAGTCCTAAGGGGAAAATATTCAGACTTCAAAATTCCACATGTCCCCTGTCTTTCACTCGCAAGCTAAGGGAACTAAGATGTTCTCTCGTGGACGCAAAGACGCAACAAGATGCCACTCATCCACCTCCCTTAACACGTGCCTTCACCTGTGTTCTGCAGGATGGAGCTGGAGGTAAAAGGACAAGAGGAAGTAGAGTGAGGGTGAAGACACGGTTGAGAAATTAAGAAGGACCCAACACTGCGACCAACTTTATATATTAACTCTGACCCTGGAGCATACACACGTTGGTGGGTGGGGTGGATGCAGCCAACTCCAACTTCACTCATCCCACCAGCCACACGAGAGGTCCCGGGCCTGCCTTACCCACGCTGCCCCTGGTCCGAGTTCCCGAGGGTCGGGGGTGGGAGGGGAAGGTGGCGGCCCCGGCTGCCCCCGGAGGGCAGTTCCTGCGCCCGGCCCCAGGTGCACTTACCACACGGGAACAGGAAACCAAAAGAAGAACCCTGCGCTGCTCGCCAGCCACGGGCGGGCAGCGCACGGCAGACAGGGTGGGACTTGTTTGGGGCCTCTGTGGCTCGGCGTCCCCACCCACGGGTGAGTGGGCCAACAGACGTCTCCTCTTATCGCCAGAAGAGCGGCTCCCCTTTCTTTGGGGAGGAGCCAGAACTTTCCCTCCGACACTCCCCAAGCACGGAAGGAGTAGGAGTCCCCTTGTCAGCAGGTCGGGGCAGGGATTTTCCTCCTCGGGCCTGCAGGGACTTGGGGAGACTCTGGGGCGCCCACCTGGAGCGCCAGGTGGGTGGCATCCTCCATCACACAGGAGGGACTGTGTGACAGCGCCATCGGAAGGGCTGCGACGCCGACTGTGCCTCGACACCGAGGGCTTGGTGTCGGATGTTTTGTCACCGCCACACCCCTGCTTTCTGATTGGCGTTACTGGTGCTGGGTGACTGGACGTAAAGACTTCGAGGGCGGCAGGTGCTGAGAGAAGCGGTTAACTCCTGCCTGATGAAACGGAAGTGTTCTGGACAGCTATCAAACTCTGAAGAAAAGAGAAAGGCAGATCCCACAGGCTGTGAGACTCGGTGGCTGCTGCGGCCCGTCCCTCGGGGGCCTTCTCGTTTCCTTACCGATGTTTCCTCTTCTGTCTCCTGCCGTAGTGCCTTCTAAATCTGTACTTCATATAATTGAGGCTAATTAAATTAACACTGAAGAAAGGCCTCTTTTGAAAAAGATTCAGATTAAGAAATAAGATAACTAGACATGACAAAACTAATACACAGAAAGTGAAACTGGTGATGATAAAGCGTCTCCTGGCAAAGGAAGTATTTCACACTAAGTCGTTGAGAGTTCATTAGCTTTGTGCCCATGTTTCACCGATGCCAGAGTCTGCATTCGCCCGGGGCTCCCAGCCCAGCCTGCGTGTCGGCCCCGTCGCCGTCCAGGCTCCGCTTCCCCCCGAGTCCAGCGTGATGGCTTCTTGCCGCAGGAGTCACGGATGGTTTTTTGGTAGGAGGGAGACAGGATCAAAAACTTGCAGAGAACTGTTCTTTCAGTGCAGTGAACTCAGTTAGCCACAACGTCTCTGCTGCACTCCACGCGTGTGCTGCAGGAACACGTCTGTTCCTCCACGCATCTGGAGCAACGCAGACTTCGTGAAATACAGTCCCCGACCACAGAAGGAAGTTTACACTTCTCCGCCATCTAGGGCAGCTCTTTTTGTCCTAAGTAACAGGAACCCTCCTTAACTTGAAAAAAAGGAAATGTGTTGGCTTATGTCACCCCAAGGCTGGGTCCAGGGGTTCCAACAATAGCACGGGGACCCTGTATCTGTGCAAGGCCGCCTTTGTGTTGATGCCACTTGCGGATGGGCTTCTGCCACCTCAACGGGGGGAGCTCCTTATTCCTCCCCTTGGGAGCACTTTTCAGTCTGCGTGTCTCATCAGCCCATCCCTGGACCGGTCCCTGTGTCCCGGGGAGGAAGGTACCTGTGCGGAAAGGCTGGGCCTGGGTCCCTCCCCCGGGGGCCGGGAGGCCCACACACAGAGCGAGCCTCACCAGGTCTGGGGTGGGTAGGGGGAGGGTGTTCTGACGAACACAAGCTGCAGGGCAGGCATGAAAATAAGAAACACCCTACATGAATCATGCAGAGACGGCACTGGTTAGAAGATAGGGGCATGGACTCTCCAGAGGAAGTTGATAAGAGAAAGCCTGGAGGAAGAGCTAGTGGGAGTAGAGATGAAGATAAGAGCCCCAAACTCAGTTGTTTAACTCCATATAATTCCAGTGTCTTCCTTCTGCTTCACCTTTTCATTAAGTTTATTTTTCCTTTATTAAAAATTCTACTTTGATGGGAGTTCTTTTGGAGTCAGTTACCCCTCACAGCCCCTGGATGAGAGCTGGCCAAGGTAAGCAACCCTATTTTAAAGATATGATGGGCACATGTTATTTTTGGATGCTTTCACTGTATTTTATCTACCTTGAATGCTGCATAGGCTCTTGTTTGCTCTTAATAAAGCTTGTCTCTCCATGTATAATCATAGGCTTACATGAAAGTAAAGTAAAAAGTTATTTAAATAAAGCTAGGTCTTCACTTTTAAAACCTAATAGAAACACACATGGAATACATTTACTAGTAGAATACTGACTTGTTATTCTGATATTTGAGACATGGAAAAGTGAACTCCTGTCTTCAGGGTGTTTAAGGAGGAAGCTGTGGGAAGGAACAGAAACAAGCTTTGGGAAGCTCCCAAAGAGGTAATTTACGCAGTGGATTTGATTAAGGGTCTCTCTGAATATTCTGGTATATAGAGGTATACACCCCCCAAAAATAGTTGTGTTTTTTGTATAGAAGGTAACAATATAAAACAAACTGAAAAGACTGCCGCATCTACCATGTGTGTGGCATCATTTCCAGGTCGAGTCAGATTCAGGAGGCATGTGAAGTGCACACATTGGAAACGATTAGCTCTCTGGGTGGAGGTGTGTCCTCCATCCATTTGTGGGGTGCACAGTCACCAAGCACTTGCTGCGGCTGATGCGGGCAGGACCTGGCAACGGTCCGTGTAAAGGGGGGCAGCACCCGGCCCTACCTCAAGTGGGTTTTCAGCGACCCTCAGGAATCTTGAGACCCAAGGTTGTAGGATAAGTGCAATATTTTAAAGCATAAAAAGGTATGTCCAAACTTATATTTTAAAATTAGTGTCCAAGAAAAAAGGTCTTGCACTTTCCAGAGCACTGGGATTGGATGGGTGTTTTCCTAAACCGGGTGACGGTGACAGTTGTATTCTTTGTCGCGGCCCCTGTGAAGGAGTGCAAAGCCTTTGCATCCATACTGCCCCAGCATGCCCGGTGCACACGCGGGGTGTGTGACGAGGGCGGTGTTTCACACGTCCAGAGCAAGGCCTTGTGTGCCCCAGAGAGCAGCTGTCATAGATTCGAACTATTTCAAAAGGTGTTTGAAGGTGCTGTACTGCCCACCGCTTTGTTAAACTCCTTATGCACCCGGCTAGCCAGTCCCATGCCCACGGATTGGTGGTAGTTTTTACCGCTGAAATCAGCGATCATGGGAACTGGAGAGATGGTTCGGTCTGGCCTCATTTTGACAGTGGAGACCAAATGGGCAGGCTGCAGGGCCCGCCCTCAGGTTGTGCAGGGAGGTGAGGAAGAGTTCTCCGACCCAGGCCTGAGATTCTTCTTTGCCACTTGTAGATTGGACTTGTCTTTTTATGTTACTCTGGTTTTTAAAGGCAGCACCCTCCTTGGAAAGAAGAAAAGCATCCCGGCTTCAGGCTGACATCTGCGCTTAACAGGTACCTGCGTTGTTTCCCAGTAGAAATAACTTTTCGAGACAACTAGTCCATTCGGTTGCCTGATGTTCTTGATTGTCTAGTTGCCAGAGTCTGTTCCTATCCGTTCTGTTTATGTGAAGTGTTAAAACAAACAAACAAACCCCAAGCCCCCACCGTGTGCTGAATGTCCACAGAGGACAGGACCACTCAGGGTAGGAGCGTGAGGTCTGGGGTGGGGCCACGGGCCTCTTACCGCGTGACCTGAACACGTTCTGTAACTGCTGTGTGCCTCGGCTTACTCGTTTGGAAAAGGGAGATAGTAGTGCCCATGTCGGGGGACGGCTGTGAGGGCTCAAGAACACACGGGAATGGCACGCAGTCAGTGCGCGTTAGCTCTCGTCGCGGTCACTTGGGGCCAGGCTCCAGTGGTCGGCGTCTCTACAGGACGTTTTTTCCATCCTGATAACGTCCTGCAAGAATGAGGGTTTCCCCAACCCCTCGTTCTAAGGGGGTTCATGACTCGTCCGAGGCCATTTAGCTCTATGTGATGAAACAGATTAAAAAAACCTTTTTCTAGTGCAAAATTTTAAACATACACAAAAGAAGAAAGAGCTGGAAGCGGTCCCGGTGCTCACCCTTCGGCGTCCGTCCTCAGCACCCCGCCAGCCTCGCTGCTTCCCGGCCCCACGCCTGTCGCACGCCGGCTGGGCACTGTCTTCCCCTGTAGCTGCAGCGAATGGTAGACGGCTGATAAGAACCTTTAAAAAACGTAGCCACAATTCCATTATTACACTTAATAAATTAACCATAATTCATTAATATTACCTAATGCCTGTCTATATGTCTTATATGGGTGTATCTATTGGTATTTCTCTACTAAGAGTAGAAATTAAGTTGATTTTTAAACATTACTTACTAGTGAATTTTAAAATAATGAAATAAAAATAACAAACTCACTTCATGTTAGCATAAATATATTTTTAAGAAAGTTATATATTCCAAAAGAAAACATTTATTGAGAAGAGTGGTGTGATCCCTTTAACAAGTCTCCTGACTGACAGCTGGATTTTCTGCCTACGGTCCCGTCTGTGGCCCCGGCCCATGGCCGTAGCGGCCGCAGAAGGCCACTGCGCTCAGCAGAGGATGAGTGAAAGGGCAAAGCGCTTTTTAGGATTAATCGGAAGTCACCTGGACTTGCACTCTTCCTGAAAAGGCTGCGAGCCCGCTGCTGTCCACGATCCTCGCACAGGAGGAAGGACGGGCAGGCCTCCGAGGGGCCCCACGTCTGACGCCTTGTTGAAATAGTTCATTACGCTGTGCGTCAGCTTCAAGGCGTAAAGCCGTGTGAGTAGATGCAAGTCATCTGGGTGGGGTGGGTGATCCGCAGGCTGTTATTGATGCGGGGACTCCAGGTAGGTCCAGACCCCTCATTTTGTGGGTTATTGTAAATCGTTATCCTTACCTTCTCTACCACTGGTAATGTGCAGCGAAGAATATTGCGTTTTTACTAAGGAGAAATGGATTTTCAGCTAGACTCTCTCTTCCCGCCCTTAGGACCAATTCTGACTCTGCTCTCCACACAAGTGCTCTGAGCACCAAGCCCCAGGACCCCTACGGAGGAGGGGGCCAGTCGGTCTGGCCAGCCCCATACACAGGTAAGACACAGCGGCCATGCTCCCTGCCTGGGCTTTCTGTTAGGGTCTTGCCTGGTGCGTGGACTGCCCTAGCCTGGTAGTCGGCCGACAAGAAGCTGGCGGGGGAAAGGTGCGTGTGCTCGTGGGAAATGGGAATGGAGCTTAAGAGGTCACATTGTTCCTGCCTCTCCTATGGCAGATTCTCCCTCCTTGGCATCTCTCAGTCCTGCGGGTGCCTTTCTTCCCACTGTACTCATTGTATGCACGTGGACTCATCATAGCTTCATCCCCGTCTCCTCATTTCCAGTCCCGTGTACCTCTCACCCAGTTTCACGTGGGTCATCTGAAGGCCCTCTCTTCCCGTCTAAGATCTGGGCAAACTGAGACATAAAGTCAGAAGTGACAGATGGAGCCATGTATCATCTGTATTGATAACAAGCGGGCATGGCTTGTTATCAATACAGATACAGAGCTCTTCTCTCTGTGAGCCCATGCCTCTTGTACCTGAACCCCAGAATGAGGCTGGCTGCCCCGTAGCCCCCTCCCGGGGCAGCCACCATGAGAGAGCTGAGGGCAGACGGAAGGGCAGGGCTGAGCAGAGCAGGAGCGCCCTGAGACAGAGAGGGCTGGCCCGGGGCCGGGCACGGCCGGTTCACTGGCGCCCCATTTTGCCGGGCAGAGCATCGTTCCACCTCCCTTGGGCCAGAGTGAAGGGGACCCTGGCCCTCACCCACCTCTCGCCCTTCTTGCTTGCCAAGGCAGCGTGGGAACCAAGTCGGGTTCCACTACTGTTCTTCCTATTCCCATCTCTTCCTTTCTTAACTCCCCCCTGGGGCCCGGTCAACACCTCAGCTTTGTCGCCATGTCTGTGGAACCATCCTCGACCTTCCTGTCTTTGCCAGCCCGAACTGCCCACATCCTTCCCACACCCCAAAGCGCCTGCATGCACCTGTGCCACTCGTGACTGCCTTTCTCGTGGTTGTGCTTCACTCCCGCGCTCAGGGCGACTTTCTTGCTGTCAGCACCTTCCTGGGCTTGTCCCCGGGGAGCCCTCTGCGGTGGGGCAGTGTGCGGGGGCTACACAATGGCCACGTGTGCGGAGCCCGCACTGGCCTCGAACCTGCACCTGCAACGGGGCCGGCTCACTAAGACACGGTCCGAGCCTGCCTTTCGGGGCTTCGTAACCTAGCGGGGACAGTGGTTCGGGTTTATCCCATCTGTACGTCAGTCAATATTCCAGGTTGACACTTGTCCACAAACAGGAAGCACTTATGTGTTTGATCTTGGAACAGGTGAGTAAATCTTCGGACCAGATAACACCAGCTTTTCTGGTTTCTTTACTTTTTAGACCTCTTAAAGGCCAAATAGTCTATTCCTGCCAAGGCGAATGCACCTGCTCTTATTTTCTTGCACATAGTAAGGATAGAATTTAAAAACAGTTGTTGCTGTATTTGTCCCCTTGCTGCAATTCAGAGATGACCACAGTTGCCTGCATAGTTGTTAGCTTGTAAAGGGTGAGGCCTTTTAGAACCGGTTGAGGCCATCTAGCCGTGTGTCCCCACAGGGGGAGATGAGAGTAAAGGTGGCAGTTCCATTAGAATTGGGTGTGGGCTAGAGACCCAGGCTCCCTGGGCAGGTGGGGTAGTTTAGCTCGGACTGGGTAGAGATGGGAAGGTACAAACAAAGCCCGGGAGAAGCAGAGCCTGTGAATGGTGGGGGCCGTGACCATAGTAAGATCTTAGCCTACCTGGAGCGGGAGCTACCCAGGGCGGATTGGTCTGTGCCCCGAATAAAGAACTGCATATCTGCCTCTGCCATTCCTTCTGGGCGGAGTTTGTTCTCACAAGGGTAAAGGCCTGGGGAGAACGAGGAAATCATAGCAAATTTAGGGAAGGAGCTCTTAAGGCTTGCATAGAAAGAGAAGAGAAAGTAACGAAAGAGAGCGATTAATTGAGCTAAGTATTTATGTTAAGAGTGATGTAGCCTTCGGAGGGAAGAGGTGAGCAAGGACAGAAGGTGTGAGTGAGTGTGAGGAAGGCGGGCAGGACAAGGTACACGTGGCCCCTGACAGGGAGGCACAGCACCGAGAGAAAGACACCCTAGAGCGGAGCTCCTGGGTGGACTCGAGAGTCGTGGTGGGCGCTTCTGTCACCTCGGCCGCTGGACGTCTGGTGGCCGTGGGAGGTGGGCGGCCCTCCAGCTTGACTGTGAGGCTGCTTCTGTGCAGTTGCAAGTATCGCAGGACTCAGAAACACATCCAAATATGGACGTGTTTACATGGGAAGGCCAGTGTGTTTAAAATATTATTCAAGTCTCCAAGGATGGGAATTATTTCTGGAGAATTATATTTGCTGGTAGGAGCTATTTTAAATAGTTTCATGCATTTCCCCCTGTAATTCATTAAAGTTTTTCCTTTTCTTTTCCTTTTGGGTTTTAAAAATATCGACTAGCTTTGCAAAAAGGTATTTCTTATTATAGGACCGACCAAATAAAGATTAAACAAGTGATGGGAAAATGTAATTGGAGCCCAGAATGGGGCTTCGTGGCAGAAGCGGCACTCACCGCCCGTCCCTGGGAACCTTTCCGGAGCGCGGTGGGGCAGCATCAGGGGACGTCCCCACTGGCTCCTGTCGTCGTCGTGAGCGGGTGGTAGAGCAGCACCTGCTCAGAGCTGAACTGCGTGGGCAGCGAGTTTGCGTCCATTCATGAGCAGGGGCTTGTGCCCAAGGACTCAGAGCCATCGTTCTGATACAGGAGTGGTTGTTTTCATAAAGGCTATTGGCTGGCATGACGATTATGCATAAGTGATGAGCCATTGATATCAATGGTAGGAATTAACTTTTATACAACCAAATGAAATTTTTATTATTTCTTCTTGTTTAATTATCTAGAATCCATAAGAAGAAGTGTTGATCCTTCCCCGGTGGCCTGTGCAGGTTAATTATCATTTCACACATATGCAGAGACAGTGCAGGGCTCCCTGTGGCACTTTTCTGTCCCAAAGCCTAGGACCGTCCCTTAACTCTCCTCGGCCCTTGGCCAGCCTGTGACAGAGGGCCGGGGATGGCTCGCATCCTCCCAGAGAGCAGTCTGTGAGCGGAGCACCCGAGAGAGCGGCATGCTTGTCCTTTCTGCACCCCGAGCTCTGGAAGCCGAGCACAGCCGACTTCGGGGACCACAGCCCTGAGCTGCTGCTCCGGGACAGGCAGAGGCCCAGACGGCAGTGACCTCGCAACAGGCAACGCGCTCTGACCTGCGCAGTGAAGGAAAAGTTTTGAAATGCAGATAAACCTGGAATAAATGAGCCTGTCCATGACACTGGAGGGAGAGGGGACAGGCGCTCATATCCCAGGCCATAAAGAGGGACAGTAAGTGTCACTTAGATGGCAGGAGGGCCCAGAATGAGGAGACTGAAGCCCCAGAGGCTTCTTAAAGGGCCCGCTCTGGTTAGACGCCCCACCTCTCGCTGCCCCTCCGGTCAGTGAGTGCAGACTGCCTGAGAAGTTGGCTCTGTCGGGCCTGGGAGCGGGGGTGGGGGCGGGGATGCGGACCCGGATGCGCCGGAGAGGAAGCCCCCTCCCTGGCTCTGAGGCCATGAGGTGTGGGGACACAGGCACGGCCGCTCCGTCCCCTGTGGGACTGGTGCGAGTGAGCGTCCTCTTCCCAGCGGTCCTGTCACAGCTTGTTCCTTTTCATGCGTGACCCTCCGTTTTTAGTTGTGCCCTATGGTGGAAACCCTGGCTCGCGTCTCTCAGTCGTATGTCAGCTCGCTGCCAGCGTTCCAGGTGCTGCCGGCGCCACCATGTCTCTGGTCGCAGAACTCGCAACCTGGGTGTTGGCTTCTGCCCCACACTCTGCCTCTTGGCCACACGCAGCATGTACTGTAGGAGCTTCATGTATGTTGTGGGAACGGTTGATAGGTCTTTATTTTAAGTCTTTCTAGACTAGTCAGGTTGCTTACAGATTAAGCTTACCCAGAAACATATCTAAACTTTAAGTAAACCTATATTTAAAGGCTGAGAACTTAAACTTTTCTCCTGATTTTGTACTGAAAACCCATTTGGCATATCTGCTGCCCCTAAGGAGAAGAACAACCTGACGTCCTTGGCACAAGCCTTTGGTTTCAGCCTAGAGCAGTTGGATGCGCCGTGCTTCTCATTAGCACTGTATGTTATGGGACTGAAAATACTTTGTTCAGCCAGAGTTTATTCAAAGTGAAGTTACTAAATTTTTGTGAAAAGCTATTGCCACATACTATTTAAATTGACTGAGACTCCAGGTAAATTATTTTTTAAAAATAGTGTGATTCTTTGTAAGAAATACGTACAGACCAACACACAGTATGGAGCTTCCCGTGTGTTCGTCTGGGCCCTCCCGGTGGGCGGGAAGCCGTGTGGTGGGCTGGGAGGCCCCTCCCTTCCCCGGGATAAAGCACTGGGGAGAGGCTTCTATCCGAACTTCTTCACCTCGTAAGCTGAAGAGAGGTGCTCAGACTTTGTAAATTGTTTTTCTTTCAGGACAGAGGCAGTAAGACAATTAAGAATGAGATCGGGGTTTTCAAGGAGGAGAAATGCAGATGGGGACCAACTTTAGACTTAAACTGGCCGTATCTATCTAAATTTTAGCATGAATGCCAATGTACCCTACATGAACATCAGGCAGTGTACCAGAATTTGTTAGAATTGTTAAAATTCCAGTGCACGTCAGAAAGAGCAACTCATTCAGGCATCGGTGAGATGGAGACGCGGGGTGAAAATGTTTGTTTTCCCTCCCACCAGGTTTCTGTGACGGTGAGCATGACGGACGTGGGGAAGGTAGGGATGTACCCGCCTCCGTGCGCCTGGGCCCCTTCATACTCGTGTTTCAGAACTTCCCAGAATGCCGACAACTGCTCGCTGGTTTAGTTTTCTGAGACTCTTGGTAACATTAGGGCTGCCCAGGACCACGGCCACGAGAAAGGAAATGGGCAATTAGGTGACAGGGGGCCCTCGTCCCCTGAAGCCCCACAGTCCCAGAGTCCCAGGGTTGTGCAGGGAAGCAAAAGTTGTCATCGCATAAAACTATTAATGAATTGTTCACGTAAACTCTGAGTTATTCCAACATCCCTCCCTCCAGAGCTGCCTGTCTTCGCCCATTTAGAAAGTTTTGGGGTTTTTAAAAATATTTTATTTATTTATTTTTACAGAGAGGGAAAGGGAGGAAGAAAGGGAGGGAGAGAAACATCAATGTGAGGTTGCCTCTCATGTGTCCCCTCACTGGGGACCTGGCCCGCAACCCAGGCATGGGCCCTGACTGGGAATCAAACCGGCAACCCTTTGGTTTGCAGGCCGGAACTCAATCCACTGAGCCACACCAGCCAGGGCCCATTTAGGAAGTTTTGAGTCAGTGATTGACAGATGCAAATAAGCAATGGGAAGAGAATGTAAATTGATGGCAAGATGCAATTGCAGATGTTGCAGAAGACACCGAGATTTAAAGCGATGAACGTGACTTTGGAGATCCACTGAAATGACGCACGAAGCCGCTGACAAATAAGAGTCTGGCGCAGTTCGCTCGTTCACTCAGCACCAGGCACTGTTTTCTGCTCCCTAAATCTTAACAATATGAAATGTGGTTTTTACAGTCTGGAAGTGAAGCGCTCAGTTAGGGTTGTGTGTTGCCGAGGTAAGCACCTTGCCCCAGAGGCGCAGGTCTCTGGCCTCAGCCTACACACCCTCTGGGGCAGGAATAAGCAATTCGCTTCGAGCTTCCTCGCGTTCCCCCAGTGAGCTCTCTGAGGGATTCCCAGCCAGCCTCGGAGAGGAGAAGGGACTGAAAACAATGAACTTCTCTAAGGAAGCAATCCTCTCCAAGGCCTTGGCGTCTGCCCCAACCTTATTCCTGCGACCAAGCTCTTAGGAGAAGTAGCCTTGAGTCCTGAAGCCACCTCACTCAGTCCTTGAAACTTTTCCGGTCATCCATCAGTGCCTTAAAGAGCAGTTGTTTGTTCTCCAGAGGCTCGTGGTCTGGCCTCACGCAGGGTCCCGAGCCTGTCGCTCCTGCCCTCCAGGTGGAGAGTCGGCCGTGGAGCCGCGTGCACCTGGCACCCCCCTCAGGTCTCCCCAGCAAGCCAAGAGAAGGAAACCAAACAAGGATGTTGGCAACATCAGTTCTTCAGAGTGGCTGGACTGTCACCGCTGAGAGAGGGCCCCGGAGCGTGGGCGAAGCCTGGCGGGTGGCGGGGGAGGGCAGCTGCCAGCACCGAGGGGAGGGAGGGGAGCGCTGTGAGGTCGCCCCGCGGCTCCGCCGTCAGTCAGGGACGTGGGGCCTCCCTCGCCCTCAGCCCCTTCCAGCCGCCCACCGGCGCGGGCCTGTCCTGAGTTTTACACTTGTAAGTTAAGCTTATTTTGGAGTTTTCCTTCACACTTTGCAAACCTTTTTCTCACGATTTCCTCTGAAATTGTGGTCCCCGTTTTAAGTGACTTCTTTCTGGGGTCTGTTACCCTTGGGTGCCTGTGTGGGGCTACAGCATTCAGTCATGACAGTCAAGCCAGAGCTCCCGTGGTTGCCAAAACCTAGCTGCATGCGTGGTTCTGAGCCAGTGTCTCCAACGGTGAATCCCCTTCCTGGCAGCAGGTCCCTTAACTCCTGAGGGCTGGTCCTTGTCTTCTGGTCTTTCTCCGAGAACAGCACTACATACTTGGGAAAGAAATCATCTTTTAACGAAGATACTTGGTTTGGCCCAAGGTGGGCCGGCTGCCATCTAATGCAATGACTGTGCTTCCTCCCCCTCTCCCTCCAGGGGTCCCTTTCCCAGGCCCGGGCCAGGGCCTGCTGAAAGAAGAGAACCTGCTGACAGTCCCCAAGCCACTGCCCAAACAGCTGTGGGAGACCAAGGAGGTGGGTGAACTGGACTCGTCCGTGTTCATTGTCCCGAATATTTGCACCTCAGAGGTCATCGTAAGATCCCGCAGAGGGGAAACTGAGGAATTGGGGGGAAAGTAAGAGAGAGGATTGTCTGGGGTCAGAGATAGGAAGGATACGCTAGAGAGTGGTGGTTCAAATAAAAATCGCCACATTTGGTTGATGAGTTAGCAAAGTGATGTATTGGCTTCGTAATTTGCATATGAACTGACTCATTCAGAAAAACCTATCCTTGTCCTCCCTCCCCCATTCATATTACTGAAAGCGCTGAGCCCTGGTTACCAGCCACAGGCAGACTTTTCTGTTTTGTAGCCAACACCATCTGCCAGCCACCAGCATCTGTCCAGAATTGCCGGTTCACCAGATACCCCTTTTTTATTTTATTTACTTATTTATTTCTAGAGCAGGGAAGGGAGGGAGAGAGAGAGAGTGAAACATCAATCCGTGGTTGCCTCTCACGTGCCCCCAACTGGAGACCTGGCCCACAACCCAGGCGTGTGCCCTGACAGAGAATCCAACTGGCCACCTTTTGGTTCACGGGCCGGCGCTCAGTCCACTGAGCCACACCAGCCAGGGCGAGGTACCCCTTTTTAAATCCAGGACATTTGACCCAAGTCCTCAAGGAGTAAGTAAACAAGGCGTCCGTTTCATGATCTCTGCGAGCCTTTGAGCATTTGTACCTGCACGTGTGCTGGTGACCCCACCACGCTCCTGCTCCCACGGGGCAGAGGCAGGTCCCGGGGTCCTTGCCCGGCCCCTCGCCCCACGGGGAAGCTGGGCGGCTCTGGAAGACAGGGTCGCCGCAGCCCTCGGGGAGCATGCACGTGCTCGTGTTGCCTCTGTGCCTCGCCGCCTCGCCCGCCCGTCTCGGCTCCCTGTCCGCCTTCTCCTGCCAAGTCCACAGGGACCCCCTTCCGCATCCGAGTGGGCTTGGGAGGTCTTCTGTGAAAGCAAGATGTACTCGGTGTGTCGTCGTTTGGGGGGGAGAGAGAGAGGGGGTTAAAGTTCATGTCCTTGACTGTGGGATAAGCAGCCCCCCTCGGTTTTTTCGGCCGTGGAGACGCAGTCGCCTTGGAGGCTTTCTCAGAGGGTGGCCGCGTCTTCTCCAGCAGAGGGGGCAGCGGCACCCACTCTCCTCTGGGCCCAGGGCCTCTCCCTTCGTTCTGAAGGGCGTGCAGCCCTCCGCCAGTCATGTCCGGGAGGAGACTCCCGCCCGCGGCTCATTCACGTTTTCCCACACCCCTGTGTGTCTGAGCCCCTTTTGCCGGCCTTTCCGACCCAGGGCTCCCACAGTGAACACGCCAACCCAGTCCCTGCCCCGCACCCCACCCGGCCTCAGCTCATTTTCTGGTTGAAATATTTCTTTTCTTCTGATATTAATTTCTTCTTTTTCATCCTGTTTTATTTTTTGTATTCTTCTTTTCCTTTCGGGCCAATCGGTAAAGGAATGTTTATTTAAATGTAAAACATTGGCCTTTTTGAAGGAAATAATATTCATCTAGAAGATAAGCTGATAAAGCATCACATTAAGAAAACTTATTAATGTTGTCCCTGGAAAAGTCTAGTGCAAACGTAAAGGGCTGCCGGAGGGGAGGGTGCTGCTTCCTGGCTGTCGCACTGACTGGAGCCCCGAGATACTTCCACAGACACTTTTAAAGCCTTGAGTTTGGCTTCACAGTGAGTGACCCCGGCTTCGTGTCTCTCCCCAGCTCCAGTCCCTGTCCGGGCGCCCTCGGTCCTGTGATGTTCCAGGTGGCAAGTAAGTAGCATTCTTTCTGTTCGTGGCTCAGGGACTGAACCCAAGGTCTTCCCGAAAGGAAGGTCTCACTGCTTTCTCACAGAACTCTGGGAAACCTCGCGTGTTCCGTATACGTTGCAAGTCAACTGAATTTTTATAGGAACAACAGCTTTCTTTGGGTGCTCACATTTCATTTGTGTAAAGTAATCATATTACACAACTGCAATAACCAATAAAACGGCCCTCAATACGTGTGAGCACACCACAGCTGACTCTCGGTCCACACACACGTGGGGCGGAAGCCTGCAGGCGCGGGGAGGAGCCCGCCCGCCTCCCGCTGCGGGCACCCGGCCCCTGGGGCCGTAGGGGTCAGTTAGGCTTCCGTGGAGGTACCCGGTGTCACAGGACCGTGCACGTAAAAGGGTAAGTGGTATGTGACGTGCATTTCACCACCATTTTAAAAATTAGTGGAAGATAAATAAATAGGAAAATTTATGATATAAAAAGTTTCTATGGAACTGTTAATGAATTTATGTGTTTAGGAGTGTAGAATTTCACTCCCTAAAAGGATTGAGACACCTCACAAGAATATGCATGGTACAGAAAGGTCCAGGGAGAGGTTCGTGAGGAAGCCGGGGAGGACCAGGGAGATGACAAAGGCCGTGAAGCCTGCACGGACAGGTGCCAGGGGGCGCCGAGCAGTGAGGTCAGGTAGACGATACAGACAGGCGGTCGCCGGGGGAGGACGCGCTCCACAGGTCTTCGCGGAGAGGACCGACCCCTGGGACTTGGTGCCAGTGTCCCGAGAGAGCACCGAGGGGCTGCACGAGGCTGCGCCGTGGCCTGGGGTCAGACCAGCTCAGAAACAGCCAGTCTCCCCAGGGCCAGAGTAATGTGGCGTGAAAATGGGACCCTCGCCTGATCTAGCAGAGTCCGAGCACCCACGCTCGGGGGATGGGGGCTGAACGTGGTCTCCGGCAGGCAGGCCTTCGATGTTCTGTCCTCCAGCAGCGCTTCCCCTGAGGTGTGAGGAGCACCGAGTTCAGGGCTCTCCCCTGCGGAGCACCTGCAGCGCAGACTTGTCTGTGGCTGGTCAAACCTGAACCCGCAGGCGGTGTTGTTGATAGCCCCCTGAGCGGAGATGAGGGTTGTTGACCTTCTCTTCAGAAAGTCGCAGGCCTGCCAGGACTCACAGCTGGACAGTGGTACGGTAGTATTTAGTCTTGAGTCCACCTTCCTGCCTGTCCACCCCTGGGCTGGCACCCCCCCTGCCCCCCCACTGTTCCAGTCGAGCTGTCCTCGAGAAACACCCCTGTGACATGTCTTTCTGTATGACAGAAACCCGGTGTCTAAAACAGAATTCGTCACCTTACCCATACCACTCAGCCTTATCCCCCGTCTGCTCTTACTCCGTAGGGTCCCGTCTCAGTGGGTGGCTCCATCGGCCCCCCTCACCCCCCAGCAGACAGTCAGGGATCACTCCTGAGTACTCCCTTGGGTACCTCTCGAACCCATCCGTCTCACCATCACCATGCTCCAGTTACGTCTTGTCTGGCTGGTCAGCAGCATCGTGACTCCCCTCTCTGCCCCCGGCCCGCACACCCCCCGCCTGCAGGCCAGCCGTCCCGAGAAAGAGTGAGCGCCTTTGCGCTCAGCTGTCCACCAGCTTCCTGCAGTCAGCACGTCAGTTCCAGCCCCATCTGCTCTCTGCCTGCGTCTCCAGGGCCCTCTCCCTTCACCACCTACCTCTCTTAAACTTGACCTGCCTGCAGTGTCTAAGCTCCTAGGACACAGTGTGGTGTCACACTTTTCTGCTTTGCCCAAGCTCTGCCTGCTGTGATTTCCCTGCATAAATCATCCGAATTCTTTAGCCTCCCAACTCAACTCAGGTGGAACTCCAGGAAGCCCCTCCGGCCTGCCAGGTACCGTCTCCACGCAGAGACTGCCAGGCCGTGTCAGCGCACTGCCCAGTTGTGTTATATGGCAAGTTATTTCCGTTTGGCGCTGTCTCCCGGCTTTGTCCGAGCCTCTCGAGGCCCCAGTGTCCGTGGCTGGTTCCTAGGAGGTGGCCTGCTGATGGTGCTCTGTTGAATGAAGTGTCCTCCATCGAATTCATTCCCCTCCGCCTCTTCCTGGACCACGGCAGTAGTTTCCAGCCGGCCCTCCCTGCTCTGCTTCTGCTCCCTTAGCCATCCTGCACACCGCCACGGAAAAGCCGCATCTTGGAAGGTGTCTGGTTGATAGAGAGATACTTTAATTTTTTTCTTGTAGGAATGATAATTTAGAAATCGAGCAAACAGAACCCTGTAAATTACATGTCAGTGCCTTGCTTGTTACATGGTGCCTTCTGATTCTTAAAGTACTTTTGCATTCGTGTTCTCATCTGGTCTTGGCAAATATTCCCCTAGAGTGGGCATAGTCGGCTTCCTCAGGCCAACCTAACAGGTGAGGAAGTGGCACCTCCGGGAGGTGAGGCTGGGAAGCAAGTCTCGGGAGAAGGAGAGGCAGAGCTTGTGTGAGGACCGGGAGCTTGGACGGCCGCTGCTTTCATCTGGCAGGGAAGCATCTCAGGCACGTCCTACTCCCCGAGGCCTGGTGGTTTTAGAAAGTAATACTTATCTTGTCTTTTTCAGCGCTTTCCCACACAACAGTCAAAACATAGGCCTCACGCCCTTCCTGGGGACCCTGAACACTGGAGGGTCGCTGCCGGATCTGACCAACCTCCACTACTCGGCGCCCCAGCCGGCCTCCCTGGACGCCGGCGACCACCTCTTCGGGAGCATGAGCATGGGGAACAGTGTGGGCAACCTCCCTGCTGCTATGACTCACCTGGGCCTAAGACACCCTTCCGGTAAGTGTCCCCTGCCCGTGTCTGCTGGGGGCCTCATCGTAGGTGTGGGCCCTAGCCAGGCGGCCTGTTGGTGCATCGTGGAGGAAGAGTGACTGCGTCCGAGTTAGATATAACAACATACCTGTTCTCGTAGCTCTTGGCTCTGCTAAACCTGCTTCTTCATCACCTTTCTCAGCCCGAGTGTCCCAGGGACCTGGAGAGTAAGACTTGAGAGTCAGGAAGTCAGTGTCCGCTCTGCTCCGCGCTGGCTGAGCCGTGTTGGTGGTCTTCTCCGTGTGCGATGGTGTTTAGCCATCACGGCTATCTCCTTAGATCCCTCCGGTTGCCCACTGGATTTCAAAAGGGAGCATTTTGAATTTTAGAACATTTATAGTGACTACAATGACAGGATTTATACTTAATAGATATGTGTATTAAGTAGAAATTGACCCCAGTTCAAAATGATTGGCTGCACTTTTCAGAAGTGATGCGGCATGTAGCTGCATGAGATGCTGCCCATCATGTGACTTGGGTGTCACTGTGTGCGTGTGGGCATCTCCAGCTCAGACCCCGGGTGACTACGTTTGCTGGAACCCTGGCACATGCTCTGTCAGTGTGGGGGGCAGGCGTCACTCTTCCCCTCCCCGCCAGGGGCACGCTACGGCCCCGCGGTCTCGGTCCTGAGCCTTGCGCGGTGGACCTCTGGAAGGTCCTTGGCGGTGGTCTGCCTGTGGGGAAAGTGCTTGCTGGTTTCCACCCGGGGTTCACCGTGACTTGTCTCTGTACGTCAGAGCTCACCACTCCGATGGCAGTGGCCCCCTTCGGGGTGGTCACCTGCAAGGTTCTCTGATGCTTTGCAGCAGAATTTTAGGTCTCAAGAGTCAATTTCAGCGATCACCTTTATTTTTGGCTCTTGCAGTCATTTTTCATTCTGCTGCTTCACTTATGTGACTCCGGTCGAGTCTGTGTGACCAGAGACATTCAAGGCCCCATAAGCCCAGTGGCATCAGCCCTTTGCTCCCCTGGGTCTCGGGGAGGCTGGCCCTCTCCAGTACAGCCTCCAGCGTGTGCTTTAGCTGCAGACCCCGAGTGTAGTCACTGACTGTCATTTTCCTCAGACAAGCATTATTTTTTCCAGAACATGTCAGAACCAGTGTCAAGTTTGTCTGGTTCCTGTGCATGGGGCTTAAAATGCACGGCACACACAGTTGTCTCGGTGACAAGACACGGAAGTGGCAGAGGGCTCGGGCAGGGTGCCTGGGCCCGAGGCGTCCGGGGCTCTGAACGGAGTTGGGCACGCAGCCCCGGGATGTCGCCCAGGGCTGGAGGGCAGCACACTGCCCACTGGCCTCTGTTACCCCTGCTCACCCGGCCCTGCCCTCCCGGCGTCCTGTACGCGGCACCCTCCTCTCAAGAAAACTGGTCTCCTCTTGAGGGTGCCTTTTTCTCGCCATTGGTCTGTGTGGTGCACGTGCAGTAGGGGTTTCCCGGGAGCTCCTCCACAGGCAGAGTCGCCGTCCGCCAGAGGAAGCTGGGTGTTCTTTAATCTTTGGAAAACAGACGGGTCGGTCTGAAATCAGGATCAGTAACTTGCGGACTTGCCGCCTTCCAGGTCTCCAGAGTTCCCGGAGCAACCCTTCCATCCAGGCCACGCTCAACAAGACAGCGCTTTCCTCGTCCATGAACAGCCACCCGCAGACGTCCGCTCCCAGCGCCGCTGCTCTGCAGCCTTCGCTTCGTCTCTTTTCCCTCAGCAACCCGTCTCTCCCCACCACCAACCTGAGCGTCCCCGCTCGGCGCCGGCAGCCGCCCGTCAGCCCCCTCACGCTTTCTCCTGGCCCGGAAGCTCATCAGGGTTTCGGCAGACAGCTCTCTTTGACCAGCCCACTGAACCCCTACCCTGCCTCGCAGGTAAAAATCACTGCAGTGGAGCAGACCGGAGCATTTAGGAACTGCTTTCCTCCTCTGTCTGAGTTTGGGTTGGGTACATGGCACCAGGCGCGGTATCCGCGAGGCGGCTTGCTCGTGAAATCAGAGCGTGGAAGTGTGGCTGGCCCGGAGTGCACTGATGGCTTTCTGAGAGCAGCCTTGTGCTGATGGTGCCTCAGCAGACACCCGGCAGCTTGCAGTCACTGGAACGCTCAAAGTCGGGGTTCGGGCCAAGGGCAAGGGGCGGAGGACGCCGTCCAGATGTGTCTACCTTAGCCACGGGAAACCAGGCTGGGATTTTAAAGTCGGTACGGAAAATCAAGAATTGGCCCCACAAGTAATTTAAACCATAAGGAAAAGCTGCAGAAGACATTCAATGTATTCCTGAAGGTCTGATATGAGACCTCTTCCCTAACTACGACCAAAGATTCGGGAAACAATGCTTTTATTGTTCATGAAGTAGTAGGTATAATGAGGATTGTATCACTATGAAAGAACCAAAAAAAGTCAGTTGAGAGAGAGGCCGAAGTCCCAGTGCTCTTACAGAAGGAAGTTCAGGGGCTGAAACATCACATTTTGACTTGCTGACTTTGTTTTTATTCTAAGCTGTTAGGGTGTTTCTCCTTACCAAAGTCATCAATGAATACATTTTGAATCTGTTGGTCACTCCCTGGATACAGTGTGACATCGCTCACTAGCCACTTCTCCGTGAGCGAGGAATGACTTAGCGAGGGGGGCGGGCGGAGCGCAGTGGGGGGCTGGCAGCCCCAGTTATGAAGTCATTCTCTGCCAATGACTAGCTTCGGGATCCTGATTATATGAGTAATGCTTTTCGGGAGGGGTAAGAGTGTATTTCGTAATTGTTTTTTTAATGGTCATTTTTGTGATACTAATTTTATTTTGCAAAATTATATGAGACTTGGCCATTGTGGCTCAGTAGATTGGAGTGTCATCCCGTAGACTTAAAGTTCTTGGGTTCGATTCCCAGCCAGCGCACAGACCCCGGTTGTGGGTTTGATCCCTGGTCAGGGCACATACGAGAAGGCAACAAATGGATGTTTCTCTCTCACATCGATGTTTTTCTCTCTCCCCCCACCTTTCTCTTTCTCTAAATGCAGTGAAAAAAGGTCCTTGAGTGAGGATAAAAACAATTATGTGATAGGTTTTAAAAAAAAATATTACTTGGGCTTCCTAGATATACTTTAAGGAGACTGTATGGATAGAGAACATCCTCTTTCAGGTGTTTCCATTTTTTAATTCGCTTTCTATTTAGATTTTTTAAAAATCCACGTGCATGCTAATAGTTCAAGAAGTCACATAGTTCTAAAGGACTTGTTCCGAAGTTCGAGGTGTTTCCCCTCCCATTCATATCTCTCACTCCCTGGAGGTGACCGCTTGCAACCATCTTAGCCAATCGCTGTGGCATAATCGTGCTACCTTCCTGCTTATTTCGTTCTACATTTTCAGTGTTAGGTTTTTCCTAATGACATCCTACCATGGGAGATCAGTGTTTTGTCTCTTCTGGCTCTCCAGTGCTCCCCGACACACGCATCCACATTTCCTCCTCCGCCTCCTCATTCTCCACAGTGTGATTTATTATGGTTTTGTTTAGAATAGTACTCAGTGTCCAATGTTTTCACAGCTAGAATAATGTAGTCAGAGTTTAACCATATAGTGTACTATGAACTAACAAAAGGAACATTTTTTTCTCCTTCTGGGAGTTAATAAATGTCTTACTTTGTTGGTTTGGTTTTCTACGTCTGTTTACGAATTCAATCCCAAACTCTCAGAATTGAGGGGGTCTTCTCTCAGCACAGCTAACGTGGCCAGATTCAAATGTGTCTTTATTCTACCCAGCATTTCATTAATAATTGGCTAAATAGAGAATACTAAATTCGAAATAATTTTTATTGAAATATTGACATTATTAATCCATTGCCCTCATAGTTTCTAGAGCTGCTGTTTAGAAATTCAATTTCATCCTGATTCTTAATGCTGTGAATGAAATCTTTTCTTTTCTTTCCCCTTCTGGCAGTTTATAGGATCTCCTCTCTGTCCCCCTTTTTCTGAGACTTCAGGATAACGTGGTTTGACATGAGTCTCAGTCTGGGTATTTGGTGGCTTTCTTCAATCTGAAAATTCATATCCTTCATTTCTGGGGAGTTTTCTTTAATCATTTCTGTGACGCTTTCTTTCCCTGAGTTGGGAAAGAAAGGCGAAGCGCTCAAGTTCCGCCGAGAGCTGGCATGGCCAGCAGTGCGCCCCCCACTGCTGGAGTCGGGCGCGCCTGGTCCGGAGACCCCTGCTGCCCTCTCTCTGGAACGAACCCTCCAGACTCCCGCAGGCCAGGGCCCGGGAGCCTAACTGCCTCTCGCCTAGACTTCGGCAAGACCCTCCTGACCTCAGCTCTGTCTTCACATCCAGCGGCCTTCGGGACCCTGTGACGGAAAGCAGACTGGGCCCTGATCTGCCCGCTGCCAGCTTAGCACTTGGCCTTCTCGGCCCGGCCGCACCAGGCGCTTCTTGTCCATCTGCTTTTCCTTTTCCAGATCCTGTTGCCATTTTCTTCTCTCCTATTCTTTTTGTCCTTGTGTTGTTTACCGTTTTGTTGTTATTGTTTTAGAGTTGTTTATGAATGTTTACTGTTGCTTAATGTTGCTGTAGTGTTTTCAGTAGAATTTTGGGAGACCGTAGAGCTGAATGCTTTTTTCATTCTTCCATCTTTAACCAGAAATTATGTCTTTAGAAATAAAAAAATAAAAAACATGGTTTTTACTTACAAATCTGAGAGGAAACTGCTAAATTGGCTGGGGGTTTTTGTTTTGTTTTGTTCTTTAGGACAATAGAAATTGTCATGGAATGGGAAATGCTTTGGGGGGAGGGGGGATTTGAGATGTACTTTGAAGAAGCAGAAATAAATAGGCTTCTCAGAGCACAGCATAGAACGCCTTGGTGAAGACGATCTCCTCATCTCAAAGGACCTAGTACCAGAAACTCAGAAGCTAAGCTAATTAGTGACTCTGTTTTTCAGATGTTGTCCTCCGATCGAAGCCCACTTTCCTTCCTGCCGATGGAAGCGCAAACTCAAAGGCCCCCGCCGCCCCCTTACCCCACGCCCCAGCAGCTGCCCCAGCCTCTCCTGCAGCAGCCCTGCATCCAAGAGCCCCCTGCTCAGCAGCCACAGGCAGTCTCCGCACTGCCGCAGCCGGACTTCCAGCTCCTCCCGGACCAGGTGTGTCCCGGCAGGAGCAGCGAGTGTGGAGGGGGTGCTCGCTTTGCCGTGAGTTCCCAACTAAATGATCCCCTCATTCCCCGAAGGGCTCCGCTTTGACCAACTTCTTCCCAGATGTGAGCTTTGACCAGCAGCCCTTGAGACCGGGCCCAGCCTTCACTCAGCAGGTGAGTGACCTCCCCAGAGGGCCCGCCCCTCTCAGAGCAGGAGCCCGTCGGTATGTGGGGCCCACAGCCAGCAGACCAGGCACTGTCCTGCTCTGACCTCAGACGTGCCAGGTGGCTAGGAGAAGCCGCAGTCTCCCCCAGCCCTGGCGTGCCGGTGCTGGCCGCCTTCGTGTCTGGCCTCAGGGACTGTTTGAACAAGGGGTGGAAGCCTCCTGAGGACACTCTGGTCGCTGAGCTACAGAACTGTTCGCACGGGCAGGACCGCAGCAGCCGACTCAGCCGCCCCGTGCGGGAGGCTGAGCCTCGGGCAGGGCCTGAGCCCGCAGGCCCGGCTGCGGTGCCCCGCGCGTGAGCCGCCTCGCAGGAGGGCTTGGTCGTGGTGGGCAGGGCCCTTCCCCAAGATATTTTCACTCCGCCATTTCCTTTTGCTTTTTAATTTTTCTATGACACTGACCATTTTTAACATCTGTCAACTTTAGAATGTTTAATAAGTATGACTGGGTTCTGGGGTGGATTAAGGGCAGAAGGAGCACTTTCCAGAACTTAAGAACAGGGACGTAAATAAAGACCTATCCCCTGAGGAGGCTACAGGGAGCCTCAGGGGGAGAACCGGCAGTCCTGCCTCCCTGGTGTCTGGAGAGGCCGGCGTAGTCTCGGTGAGGCAGCGTCTCCCAGAAAAGCGACGGAAACGCCTGCCGCTGAGAGATTTTTAAAAGCAGTTTGGGACGTTAGTTTCCAGAAAGGCACCCACGGTAGGGTCAGTTCTTGTCCGTCTTCGGAGAGGCTTTCTCACAGACCGGGGGGCTTGCCCGAGCTCCTCCCTCTGAGCGTGAGAAAAAGGGGCTCCACTTTCTCATTTTTCTGGAAACCAAAGAAAAGAGCCTTCTGGCTGCATCATTTCTTTGGTCCTCCTTGGGGAGCTGTGACAGGGTTCCCCCAGTGGCAGTTTTCACGGGCCTCAGTGTGACGAGGAGCGGCAGGCCTGAGACCTGAAGGACACGGAAGCCACAGCCGCGAGTGTCTCCTCGGGTGGGCCAGTGGGCCAGGCAGCGTGTGAGTGGGGCCTCCGCGTCCACGCCAGCGTCCGCCTGCCCGAGAAGCATTTTCTGCAGAGTAGGTTCCCGCGATCGCGCAGCACTCCGGGACGCTGCAGGAAGGGGCTGGAAGATGTCTTCCGTCTGGGCCGGCTTTGGGAGCCCATGGCATTGTCCCCCCTCGGAAGCAGAGATTGTTCCTCACAACGTAACCTTCGGTGTTCCCAGGTGCCCCTGGTGCAGCCAGGCCCCCAGGAACCACAGGATGCATTTCATCCGAGACCAAACCTGTATTCCAACTGCGGGAATTTCCCGAGCAATGCCTTGACAGGTGAGTGTGAGCCAGCCCTCCCCTTCCTCAGTGTAGTTCTTCTGCTGTGTTCTCACAGATTCCACTGTAAGAGAGTTTGAACAGCAGCGTTAGATAAAGCGAAAAATGGAAGTTCCCCAGCTCAGCTTTTCCTTTTCAAGTTGCAAGCGTCCAGCCCAGAGACTTTGAGGCAGTGTTTTCTGAAGGGCTTAGTTTTAAGTGATTGGCACTGGCTCCAGTGGAGAAAGCCTGCGCAAGCTGGGAGTTGTGGGGCTGACCGGAAGGGACACAGATGCCAGAGCAGAGCTGTAGGCCTGGGAGGGGTTGGGACACCGTGATCATGGTCTTGGCCGGCGTTCGGGGATATCGTCAGCTGTGCTGTCAGCCTGCGGCCTCACGCCTCCTGACCTGCCCTGTTGTCCACTTCTTCCAGAAGACTCCAATTCCAGCCTCTTCAAAGACCTCAGCAGTGCACTGGCGGCCATGCCAGAGGTCAGTCTGGGTGTGGACACTGACACTCCATTTCCATTGGAAGAAGATCTCCAGATTGAACCCCTCAGCCTGGACGGACTCAACATGCTAAGTGACCCCAGCATGGGCCTGCTTGACCCCACTGTTGAAGAGACATTTCGAGCTGACCGACTGTGAACAGAATAGAACAGAACAAGAGAACTTACGTCTGAAACAGCTAAAATAAAACGGAATATAGTGGAGCCAAATACACCCCTGGGCTTTAGTTATCTCGGGCTTCTGACGCGGAAAGAACCGATTCTACGGCCCCTGGCTTTCTGCCGAGGTCCGTTCTCATATACCACCGTGGCTTATTCCAGACCGCAGAGCTCTGCACGGCCTCTCAGGCCGCGGCGCCCGTCAGGCGGCCACAGGCGGGCCGACTCGGAGCGTCCGGAGGGGTGGTGATTACAGTCACCACCACATCTTTTCGTGGGCTGTCTAGTCGGTCGGCGTGTGAAAGCAGCGAAGACCGCGGACCGGAGGGCCCAGCAGCACTGCGCGGTGCTCGGAACCACTGATCTCCCTCGACGCTGCAGACGGGGCCTGGCTGCCGTGGGCGGCAGCTGGGGCTGCGGGCCTTCCGGAGCCGGCGCAGTGCTGAGCAGCGGTACCACAGCACCACGGGCCTTCTCTGCCCTCGCTGTCACGGCTGGGCACCTGCCAGCTCCCGGCAGGGGGCTCGGGGCAGCCCGGAGAGCCGCTGCACCCTCGCCCCCAGATGCCTTAATTCTAATATGAAGAAGAATTTGCACCACGAGTCCCAGAACAGACTTGCGTTAAGCAAGCTGAACAGTCATTTGTTTTCTTCCCAGTTGTAATCTCTTTTCTGCTGCTTCGGGTCACCTTTTCCTATGGACCAGGGGAAAAGGCAGACTGTTGTATTCAGTCACTGAAGAAGAGTCCCCCGCTAGTGGATGAGCCTGAAGAGAAAGAACAGTGCTTCTTGGGGGCCGTGGAAGCCAGAGGGGGGCCCGAGGGCATCTCGCAGACACCCCGCGTTCTTCAGACGCGCTCTGGGCCGCCCCAGACGGGCTCGGGCCTCCTTCCGGACACACCCCCTGGAGGGGCCGGCTGGAGGCTGACTGGGGGCCGGGCGGCGGCAGAGCGAAGCTCGCTGTCTGCGGGCCGGGAGCGTCAGCCCCCCTGGACCTAAGCCCCTCGAGGGCAGGCAGGGCCTGTGCCTTACTTACTCATCGTCGAATCCCTACTACCAACAAGTGCCTGGCACTGAACAGGTGCTCTGCCGCGGCAGGTCGAATGCGTGAACGAATGTGCGCGTGGATGGACATGAGAGCGAATGCGCGATCTGCCTGCTGCGAGGCGGTCTGACCTTCAGCTCTCCCTGCCCCTTGCCAAGCCCCCCCCCTCCCACCGAGCTGTGGCTTCCAGACACTCGTGCCTGTGGTGAAGTCGCGCATGCACTTTAATATGCTTTTAACACTAGGTGACCAAACCCGCCGCCAGACTTAGGCGGGCACCTGCCTGTCCCCCTTGGGCTGCGCTCCACCGCAGGTAGGTGCGCACCGTCTCCGAGGGCGTTCGGCCTGGCTGAGTGAGCTGAGGCCTCCCAGGTGCCTCAGGGGTCCTGGCAGGCCCCACCTCAAAGTGCTTCCCTCTCAGACCCATAATTTTGCTCTAATTGCTTTAAAATAGACATTCATTCTTTGAAGAAATTCTGTAGTAAAATGAAGGCCTGGGTCACGAAATTATCATTAGTTATTAATATCTTAGCACAGAATAGGATTACCGTATTTCCACCACTGCCTGCCCCCTCTAACCTAGGCTAGGCCAGCCCCTGACCGGAAGCCTGACGGGTGGATTCGAAGGGGGCCGAGGGGGCGGGCACTGCTGAGCACCCCTGGGGAGGGGTCTAGGCAGAATTCGGGCACGGCAGACTAGGTGGGGAGGACAGGGCCACTGAAGGAGAGGTGAGACATCCCGGAACCTTTGCCTAGACAGCCACTGGCCTTCCAGGAGATACCAGGAGTGTTCCTGCCTGAGGGCCGCTAGGCTGCTCCCAGCCCAGAGCATCAGGGCCGAGCCACGCAGGTCTGAACCCGACACTGGTGCACCTCGTGGCGGGAGGAGTCTGTCCTGGACGGTGCCCTGGACTGCTAGCCTCTCCTGCGCGGGTCCTGTTCCTCTTCAACCTGCTGGGGCTTGCCTGCCCGCCTTCCTCTCCGAGAGCCCTGATGGGGTGCCACTCCATCTCTCGCTGGAACCCAAGGCTTCCCACTTTACGTCCGCCCCCAGCCCCCACTGCTGAATCAGGAAATCAAACCAGAGTCCTCCTTGCTGAGTGCTGGCCCAGGCAGGGAACGCTGGCCTCCCGCTCCCAGCTTTATTCCAGTCGAACTTTCATATCCCTTTATACTCAACACCTCAGAAGGGTGTGGGGAGCGCTCTGTTAGAGTAAAGGGCCTTTCCTTCCAACGGTACGCAGCACCCCACTGTGCCAAAGGAAGCCGACTGCCTCCTGCCTTTCCCATGTCCAAGGCCCCAACTTCTGGTCGGGCCTTTCAGACTGGGAGTGGTGCTGATGTTAGAAGAGGTGTTTATGAGGAGCGGGGGTCCCAGCATAACTCACAGTGCCTTAAGCACACGGTCGCTGGGGCGGGCGTCCCAGCCCGCTCTGCCTGCAGGGCAGCCCCACCTCACCGACCTCCAGGACAGCTGTGCTGCCCGGGGCCTTGCTCCAGGCGGCTCCTGGCCTGGGGCCTCCCCCGAACGGTGACCTGTTTGGGGAAGTATAAGAATGGCAGTGAGGTTTAGCACTGGATTCAATTTACCCTTAGGTCCATCAGTCCGATCTTTTCCTGTGAAAAGGTCTTGGGCATTGCACAACCCACTTTGCCTACCTGGTGTCCAGGGCAGGTGGCTGCCGCAACCGTCGGCAGGTAAGTCTGCACTCACTGGTGCCTTTAAAACAAACCAAGTGTGAGCCTCAGCACCTGAAGTGGCTGCATACTAAATATTTTGCAATATTTAGAGTTACAAGAAATCAACAGCTGTACTACTCATTTACTAGCGGTCAAACAGCCTAGAACTAAAGCCTGTCTGTGTTTCCAGTCTTTTCTTTCTCTACGGTTGTGGTTTTTAGAACTTAAGGTGTTCGGAGAAAATTTTCTTCATCATGTCGAGATGAACCTAAATTCTCCTTTGTCCCGTTTCCTTTCTCCTAAGTCTACTGTACATTACCTGAGCTGAACAGTGTGTATTCCGGTCTGTTTGCATATCTGAGGACGTTTCCAGCTCTGACTCTCGCCGCCTCTTAGGATTAATGCACAGACGGTCCCGAGCGAGTCCGCACTGCTCGTGACGGAACCTTCGCAGCAGCTAATCAGCCAGTGTCCTAGTTCCCAGGCCCCTTGTTAAACAATATTTAAAGATTGGAATTTGTATAAAGTAGCTTCCAAGTTTTATAATGCATCATGTTACATCTTTCGTAATTAAAAGCACAATGAGGTTGTATCTGCATTTGGTGGTTTTCTTCAGCCTCGCCTCGGATGAGATGAACTGGGGGACAGCCTTTCTCTCTCGCCGCCTCCCGTGCAGCTCGGCCTGCAGTTAGGGGTTTCTGGTCCTTGGCTGGGCAGGCCCTGCCGTGACCTGCGTATCATGCGTGCACCACAGGGAGAAGCTCAGAAAAGACTAAAGCTCGGGGTTCCTCTGAAGCTGTGAGTACCAAGGGCAGAGGGTGTCCTGGCTGCGCCTCCAAGTTCTGTTCCCTCTGCCGCACCCCTGCAGACCCCGCTCCTGCCTCCTCTGACACCCCTCCCCTGTGGAGGTTCAGGTTAGGCCACAGACCCTCCGCGTCCTGTGCCTGCCTTTAGCCCCGCCCCCTCCCCTGCCCCGAGTCCCAGCAGGGCTCACAGCCTGGCCCATCCAACAGCCAGCGTCCTCAGAGACCCCCTTGTCAGCCATGCCCAGAAGTCATGCAGGTGTCTCTTCTGAAATCTTACTCAGAAATCCCGGCTCTAACCCCAAGTTCCTGAGCCTTCGTTTCTGTTTTGGTCCCCACATACCCTGTCCTTTGATGCCACTGAGAATCTGTCCCTTGTCCCTTCTTCTCTCCGCCTGTCCACCCTCTCCTGGCTTCCCTCCCTTCCCAGGCCTAGTCCCCTGGGTCACTGGCCTTTATGCCCCCCTCCCCAGCCCTCCCCCTGCCCTTGGCCACCCCCTGTCCGGAGCCCCACTCAGCCCTCTCCTGCCCCCTGGGTGCACCTGGACCTCCCCTGAAGGCCTTCACTTGTCCTCCGGGCAGGGGGGTGGGGCACAGCTCCCTCAGGGTCGGTTATAATCAGTATCGCGTATCCCTTGAACACGCTTGAGTGCGTTCTTTCAGAGACAGGATGCACAAATCTATAGAAATACTAAATTTGTGCGATGCGTGCTTTGAAGCACCTGGTCTTAGCAGGGGAGGGATATCCTACCTCAATCTTGTTTAGGTCCTGTTTGCTCAATGAGCGCTGCACCTTCTGCAAGTAGGGACCTCAGGGTTCTGCAGTAAGCCAGCTATTCAGGGTGGGGCAGAAGTAGGGTTACAGTTGTGAGTACACAAAACAGTTTATTGTGCTGTTATTTATTAATGATCGCATTGTTTTCCATATGAACAACTGTAAACCTACTTTTGCCACACCCGATGTGTGACTGTGCCCCGATGTGGACACTAGATGGAGCTGAGACCACAAGAGTGGCTCTCAGGGCTCAAAATACCCAGGCAGAGCTCCCTGACCCTCTCAGACGGAGCCTTCGGACTCGGACGGGGTTGGCACTGGTGTTGGCTAGAGCTGCGTCCTCTGATGGCGCAATGCAAATGAGCCTCCCTAGTGCGCAGTCCCCTGTGGACGGTGAGACACCCCATCGTGCACCCCTCACTGCAGCCTGGGAGGCAGGCGGAGGCAGGCGGGGCCAGGCTGACTTCTCGGGCCCCCGCATGAGGAAGCAGGCCCAGAGAGGCTCCGTCCCAGGGCTGAACCAGCGGGGTCACCACTCACCCTTCCTCGCGGCGGGCGGCGGGCGGGGAGCCACCCGAGGAGCCGCCCCTGGGAGCAGGATGCTGGGGTGAGAGGTGCCGGCTAAGGAGCAAAGGAATTTCTCTTCCAGGAAAATTTTTTAAAGGCTTTGCTTTTATCGCGCTAGAGCGTACCCACTGTCAGGAATCCACACGACACCGAAGAGGGCAACAGTGATGGAGGCGCCACCTCCTCCTCCGTGTATTCAGGGGAAGGGGCAGGTGGATGGACGGAACTTTTTACCAAAAAAAAAAAAGACACATGCTGTCTTCAGAAAAAGTACTTACATTGAACAGGACAAAAGAGAAAGCCTAAGTGTACCTAGAAACTGCCAAACTGCAAGTCGTTGTGCTTCCTCGTGGTTTCTCTGAAAGGAAAGATGCCCAGAAGCCGGATTCATGCTTCAGAGCCGTGTCCGACGGTAGATGGCATCTCCAGACAGCCCGCGCCGTGGGAGGAGGAAATGAGCTCACCCGCTTCCCACCTCCCGCCCCGCGCCCCGCCGGTGAGAGCTCGGCGGCACATTGTCAGCGTCCCTGCCGGTGGCATCCTGTCCCGCAGCCGTCCTTCCCTCCTTTGTCTGGCCCTGCTCCCCGGGCTCGCGGTCCCCGCGCACCGCCTGCCCCTGCGGACGGGCTTTCCCGGCCCCCCACCCCCACGTGCTTTACTTGCACTCGCCCCGTGGCCGCCTGGCCCCCGTCCTCCAGGGCTCTGTTGGGGAAGGGCTGCAGCAACCACAGGGGTGCCGCCCCGTGCTGCCAGGTGGGCGGCCCGAACCCCGAAGTGGCCGGGGGCCGTCCTAGGGCACAAACCCACCGTTTAGGGACAAGATGACTCCTGGCTGAGAACTGAGTCTTAACGCTTGGGTTTGGTGACGCAGAGTTGAAGGTTCAGAACTCGGAGAGAAGATGACCGGGGCGAGGCACCCGGAGAGTCCTGTGTTCAAAGGCAGTTCATGCCGGGTCTCTAGCTCAGGGTGCCTCTATTGGGGGGGGGGGCACTACCATAAGGACCCCACCCCCCATTCCATCCCTTCGAGGGCAGTGCCCTGTCTCATCTTCACTTGGAAAAACCCCACATGTCCTTGAGGGCCCAGGTCCAGCGACACCTCCTCTGTGCAGCCTCCTGTGAGGGGGGGACTGTTGTTCGACGCGCACTGATACTTCCTTCCTCTCGCGCACTCTGCGGGGCGGTCGACCTCCGCCCTCCGGGGCCCTTTGCCCTCGGGCCGTGTTCCGTGGCTGGCTTTGGCCAGTGAGGTGTTTGTTCGGGGACGGAACCCAGAGTGGAGCCTGGACGTTCCCCGGACGGCAGAGCCGGGCCCCTCGGACTTCCGCTGTTGCCACCGGCACAGCTCCCCCCACCCCGCCCCCCCCCCTCCCCGTGTCGCCTCTGGTTCCAGCAGCACGAGGGACGAGGCACCCATGGGCCTCATGCCCATGCCCACCCGCCAGCAGGCGGGCCTCACTCACGTTGCCAGGACTGACCCAGTGAATCTGCAGACACACGAGCCGGAAATAAATGCTCGTAACAGGGAGCCATGAACTACGGGGCCATTTGTCCTGCAGCGTTACTGTGGCAACAACTGGCTGGTGACCTCTGTCGGTTTTTGATTTTGAGCTGCACTTGGTTCCCATAGCTTTCCTAACGCTAAGGCTAATGTTGCTACAGAGCCCGCCCCCACCCCCCGCCCCCGCCCAGGCCCACGAGCAGTGTCAGGAAAAGGCTGTCTGATTCAATGCTGACTCCCCGGTGCCCAGCTAAAAGGCGCCCGACATCATCCTTCCCACCTGCCCTCTGTCCAGGACAGCCTGGTCCGAGCGGAGAGCCCAAGGCCTCTGCTTTCAGGACTCACCCGCAGGCTTGGACAAGAAGGCTCGAAAGCCCTAAGCTTTGGGACCCACCTCTAGGGAGGACCCTCAGGCACAGGCGCCCCTACCTGGGAGCACCGGGGACCCCAGCGGCTGCTCTCCTAACCGGGCTAATAACGTGTGCAGACAGGCCCTGGTAAGTGCAGTAGGGATGGGGAGCAGGGAGAGCGCCGAGCCCTTTGTCCAAACACCAACCAAGAGGCTTGGGGTGTGGAATCCCAGAGAGCGGCCTTGCAGACTGCCCAGGCGGCGGGGCCAGCTCCCTGACCTCACACAGACCCGCCGGGAGAGCAACTCTGGGAGCCAGGGTCCGGGGCAGCGCGGGGCAGCCGCCGGCTGGGTGTCCCCGGCTCCGCCCGCCAGCATCTTGTCCTGATGACCTAGGTTCCACCTGGCCTGGTTTCCTTCCACTTTATCATCCCAACCAGGATACTTCTGAGAGTGAAAGGAGGCCCTGGTAACAGTCGTGCCAGGACGGCAGACACGAGCAGGGACCCAGGCTTAGCCCGGGAACAGGAACGAGACCTAGCTGTGGTGTTGCTTAGGGTACGAGTGCGTATGTTCCGCAGTTACAGAGACCCGGGTTCCAGTCTGGCCTCCGCCCTTTGACTGTGAAGCCTCGACAAGTCAGTGACCTCTGTGTGCCTCCGTTTCTTCATAAAATGGGGTGATGAGACCCACCGCATTAGGTTGTGCCTAACACTAGGAAGTGCTTCCTGCATTTGCTATCGTTTTCATGTTATTCTTGTTATTAAGTGAATATTTGACATTGCTAGACCTCAGAAACACAACAACAGGATTTGCCTGAGCCCCCACCCTCCTGCTGAGGAGCTGGAGAGGCTAACCAGTCTGGCCAGGACACCAGCCGCTCCCCCGGGGGGGAGGGGGGGCTTCTGACGCACCGGGTTCCTGGTTCAGGGGCCTCAGGCCGTCCTTAAATGCTGCTGACTGACCTGCTGGGAGCCTGGCAGGTGAGTAAGTGCTTGCAAGCACTGAGTCTCCCTTAAGTGGTTTTTCTGCAGGGACTTCCTTTCCCTCCTTCAAGCCCTGCACGCTCCAAGGGGCCGGTTTGACTGGTTGCGGGCAGGCAGAGCCATGCAGCCTGGAGGTCACGTGGGCGCAGACCCATCCTCTGCCTCGCTGGCTTCATCCTCTTGGCCAGCCAGGTGTTTTTCCCCCCAGCAGCTTGAAGCTTGAATGGGAGACACACAGAGTCTGGGGGCTGTTGAACTGGAGCCACACTGGTGTCAGTGGCCTAGAGACGGGGTTCCGGACTGGGCCCCCGAGTGGCCACTGCTCTGCCGCCAGGAGCCTGGCATTCAGCAGCTGCTCCAAGTCGGCGCTGCCCACTCATTTCCTGGCAAATCCCCTGGAGCCGGGACTTGCTTCGGCCGCAGCTTCCGAAGTCCGAACTTTCCGGGAGCGGCCGGGGAGCCGCGGCAGGTCTGTCCCGGCCCCGGCCTGGGGGGCCGGCCTGCCGTCTGGTCTCCCGTCTCCGCAGCTCGGCCTTCTCTGTCTCTCTTGGACCAGGCGGCAGCAGCAGCAGCTGGTGAAGCATGCCACTTTTTGTTCCAGGTTTTCTTC